ATAGACTGTCAGAACTAGAAAGTATCTGCAAGAGATCATTTAGTCCAACCTCATTTTACAGATAGGGAATCTGAGACCTAGAGAAGTTAGTGAGTTGAATAAGTTCACACAGGTATACACAGTAGCAGACCATCCACAGTTTATGCCAGAATCCCCTTTCTGGGTTATTTTGTTTGTTTGTTTTTGTGTTGTTGTTGTTTTTAACCTCCCCAAAGTTTACTTACTTTCAGAAATTTGTAGAACTACCCAGTTGTAGGATGTTTTGATTTCTAATGTCACTTTTCAGTCTTCTTCACCTGCTTTCTACCCCTGTATATATTTCTGGCTCAGGATAAGTGAGTCTGGCAAGCAGTGAATGCTTCTATTTTCTTAATTTTTAGCATATTAATTGTGTGATATATGTCTTTACAAACATATATAAAGGGGAGATATTAAAATATTTGTACTAGACGTACCTAAATTTAATAGAGTACTAAACTTTTTATGGCACTTTCTGACATATATGGATGAAGAGGAGTTCTCAATGTAATATTGAGTTCTTTTTATTTTTTTAAACGTATTTTTTAAATTTATTTCAGAAAGGAAGGGATAGGGAGAGATAGAAACATCAATGATGAGAGAGAGTCATTGATTGGCTGTCTCTTGCACTTCCCACATGGGATAGCCTTGAGTATCAACCTATGAACCTCCTGGAAGAAAGTAAAAGGTGCTGGGGATTAGCCTTGAGGTTCATAGGTTGATAGTCAACCACTGAGTCATGCTGGCCAGGCAATAGTAAGAGTTTTTATTGTATATACAGACTGAATCTGTTCGTACTTCTTGTAAGCATTCAGTAAGTTATTTTAAGAAAGGACAAATTTAATCTGTCATACCAAATTCGGGTATACTGATACTTAGTAAATTAGTTATTTTGTGCAAGTGTGTGTATTTTATTTTTGTGTGTTCCCCTGTATAATCTGTATTTTGGTGGGAGTAAGGGGAGGAGTGGGGAGATAGGGAGTGAAGACATAATATATTTCTTGCCTTTGAGGAACTTAAATGTTTACTGGATACTGAATATTCTATTTGACAAACAACTCCCCATTATTTTGTGGTAAAAAAAAACAAAACAAGAAAAAAACCCTCTCCATTATTTTGTAGTAAACATTTAGCTGTTGTTAATTTTTATCAATTTAGTTTTCTTTTGTAAGATGAGGATAGCTCCATTGAAGAGACTACAGAAGACACCTACATGCCTAGCTGATTCCATGTTAAATCTTACTTCAAAGGAAGCTTTTCCTGTTAATCTTATCCCTTTCTTCACTTTTTGTTTGCTATTTCATAAAAATCCCCTTCACTGCCTCTTCCTTTTTCTTGTCTCAAAAAAGCCAATATAAGGTGATGATAAAATATCTTTTAAGTTGAGTTTTAATTATAAAGAAGTATAAATCATTAATCTAACAGTTGTCTTAGTCAAATCCCATTTGCTTTATTTGTTTATTTTTAAAATTATTTTACCAATTTTTTACAGAGAGTAAGGGAGAGGGGGAGTTAGAAACTGATGAGAGAGAAACATCAATCAGCTGCTTCCTGCACATCCCCTATTGGGGATGTGCCAGCAACCAAAATATACGCCCCTGACTGGAATTGAACCCAGGACTCTTGAGTCCACAGGCCAACACTCTATCCACTGGGCCGAACTGGTTAGGGCCATTTGCTTTATTTTTATGTATCTTCAATTTTGGTTTGTTGAGAGACTTAATAACATACAGCAAAAAATTTACAAGAAACTGTGTGTGTTTTTGAGGGTGTGTATGCACTATCAGAGAAAGTTTTAATTAAGAAAATCCTTATTCTTACTCTACCAGCTCTCCCCAGATCACTTTCATCACTACCAGCCCCAGTATTTATTATCACATACTCTCTATCCATACCTGTAGAGATTTTCATAGCCTTTTCATGTTTTCATCATCACTATTTGTTGGTTGTTTTGTGCCAAATATTGGTCTTGTAGGAAGACAGGCTTTGACTAAATTTTGTTATTGCTTTGTTTTTAAAACTATTTTCAATTTTTATTATAAATGAGAGTATGGAGCAGTCCTAGAAAAAGTTTGACTTTTGTAATTATATAATTATAGCTTGAGTTCTGGTTCTTCCATTTACTTATTTTGATTTGGGTCAAGTTTTTTGTTATTTTTTAGTGTGTTTCTAAATCTTAGCTTTTATATATATAAAATGGAGGTAATATTAACTATTACCACATGGTTGTGAGGATGAGTAAAAAAAACACATAAACATGGGAACTCCTTTGTAAAGTGTGTGCATCTAGTAGACATTTAGTAGCTCATTGTTTCCACTTTCCCTCCATTTCTTCCTCTTAACAGTAATATTTGAAAATCCGTTTATGAAGGTAGTCTTAGGCACTATTGGTCAAAGCAAACATTTTGAGCTTCAGAGAGAGCATGGGGATTTTAGAGAATTGAATCTGTATGAAACCTAAGACGTTTATTTTTTGTTGTGCTATCATGAGACCAGCTGCTTAGAATTTTACCTAACCTATACCTCCCCCATTACCTCCTAAGCCCTGTCTTGTTTACGTGATTCCTTATGAAAATATTTCATGTGCTCGCTTCGGCAGCACATATACTAAAATTGAAAATATTTCATTATGGGTTCTTCACTATTAACCATGTTGTTTCTTTAATCTGTACCAAAGAAAAGTGTGCAATGTGACTATTTTCATAACCAGTCCTTTTCTTTCCACCTTTCATGTCTTTTAATGTGTGTTTGTGAAATTATTTTGCAAGAATGAGTATATGTCATTCCTGAATAAATTTTCTAGCAAAACTCAATATACTAAATTCTAATAAGCTAAAATGGAAAAGTTTTGTTTTGAGCAGTAATATAAAAGTTTATTTATTTCAGGTCTGACCAGAAACTAGTGAAATGTAGTTTGTTTATAATTAATTCAATGGGTATAAATCTGTTTAAAGTAGAGAAACTATACAGATATTTTCAGGATTCCCAAGTGCAAAATATAGGTCCACTATCCCTTATTTGAAACTCTTGGGGGGCAGTTGTGTTTTTTGTTTTTTTTTAATACTTCATTTATTTTGTGTTTTTTTGTTTTGTTTGAAGCATTATAAATATTAGTACATATGTCTCCTTCCCCCCCCATGACCTCTCCCCAGCCTCCCCTATTCCCCCCTCCCCTGCATGTGCCTTCACCTGCGCGGCCCCCACCCCTCCTCCTGTCTTGTATCCATTGGTTATGTTTATATGCATGCATACAAGTCCTTCGGTTGATCTCTTACAGCCCCCCCCTCCCCCAACATCACTTGCCTTCCCGCTATAGTTTGACAGTCTGTTCAATGCTTCTTTATAACTATTTTTCCACCATTTATTTTCTTTGAAAAATCTTGCAACTGCAGACTAGAAATAAACATATAATAACAAAAAACATTTGAGTCCCAATTTTAATGTCCAACAGTTCTGAGACCCAGTTTCAATGTGTTTTGGCATTCAGAATTTCTTCAGTTTTCAGAAATGTAACAGGGAAGCATCTACTTTATTATAACACGCTCAGTAGGATTTGGAACAGTACCTAGAATGAAATGTTTGAATCTTTACTGTAAGTGTATTAATTAAAAACTACATACAATATCATAAATCCAGTTGGCCATAAATTTAAGAAAAAAATGGTAGATATTTTAGGCTTTGGGGATTTTGAGATTGTCGATTAAGGGTCTATGGATCTGTATTTATTTTAAAAAATAATTTTTAAAATTTACATTTTATTGATTTTTTACATAGAGGAAGGGAGAGGGATAGAAATTTAGAAACATCGATGAGCTGCCTCCTGCACACCCCCTACTGGGGATGTGCACGCAACCAAGGTACATGCCCTTGACTGGAATCGAACCTGGGACCCCAGTCTGCAGGCTGACACTATCCACTGAGCCAAACCGGTTAGGGCACATGTGTCAAACACAAGGCCCGCGGGCCAAATCCGTCCCGCCAGGCCTTGCAATGTGGCCCGCACCGCGCTGTCATCACTGCACTCCGCTGCGTTTCCATCACAATGACAGTTTATGACTGTTCAGTAAACCATTCGGCCCGCGATTTAGGCTGGATTTTAGATTTTGGCCCCTTCTCTGATTGAGTTCGACACCCCTAGGTTAGGGCATAAAATTTTTTTAAGAAATATAGTTTGGTTAGTAATTGGAATTACCAGGATGCTGTTGACCACAAACTAATACATGGTATCCCTTTCTGAGCCTATTGATGCTTATAAACATGTCCTATTAATCATGAGTAAGCCAGTGAATGATAACAAACATGTCACTACTATTCAAAAGACAAGTTTGAGCATGACCAATGATAATGCTAACTTAACATTTACTATTCTGTATTGATTTTATTTATTATGGTTTCTTTACTCTGAAACTTTAATTAAAATTTGTAACTTGAGAGGGTATTAAAAAAGACGACCTTTAGCTTATCTAAAAAGAGAAAGGTCTGGTTTTTAAAAAAGTTTAATAAATATTGTGTCTGAGTAGATTAGCATCATTTAGTTTTTTCCTTTTCACTTATAATTTTACTATTTTTATCATGTCTTTTTAAATAATAGTTTGAGAAAATTGTGTATGCTCAGCTGTGAAGTAAAGATGATCTTAAAAACAGTTATTAAACTTCATTAGCATGTAAAGTTTCCATAAAGGAAATTTGAAGGTATAGATGCAGCTGAATTTACACTGTTGTATATTAGTGACATCACAAGTTTTGTTAAGCAAATGCATAAGCTTTAATTGCATACACTTATCATTTTAAGCCTCAGTCTTTTTAATTGTAAATGGGGATAATAACAGAACCTACTTCACAGGCATAAACAAAATAGTTAATATAAAATACTTAACATAATGCCTGGCACATTATGAAGGTTCAGAAAATGTTTGTTACTATTATACTTTTTTCTCAATTGTAAAAGATAACTTTATATCAAATTTAAACTTCTCTTTTAGATGTGCTGAAAGACATTATGATACCGCCAAATTTAACTGCAGAGGTAAGTATAAATATACTGTATTATGTTAAATAATATAAAACTAATAGACTAAATCTTACTGTCATAGCAATAATGATCATCTCAATTGTTAAGTGAGATAAATATTTGCCAAATTAAAAATATTAAAAAATATAATATTTGGCTGTTGTGTTTTAGGAAACAACTGCCATATAAACCTGCCAAAAATATTAAGACAACTAAACTGCAGAATGAACTAATAATTAGGAGAAATTTTTAGATTAACAATAGAATAAGGTGGGGTTTATATCTACTTTTTTGAGGTATTTGATATAGTAGTAAGAGATTATACAGAGAAAACAGAACAATTTAACTCTATTAAGGAACATGATATAAAAGATGGAAAGGGCATAAAAATATGGGAAAGGGGAACCTGAAAGGTGAGAACAGGGAACTACTTTAAATGAAATATTCTTCAGGTGTAGTGACTTCTATCTCAGAGCCCACAAAAACTTCTTGAAAATAATACTTGATCTCCTTGTCCAATGGATAAGTTTAAGAGTTAATGAGACTCCACTAATATTAAAAAATTAGAAAGTTTATTAGGCAATAAATAATTTTTCTCTGAAGTTAAGTTTTTCTTTTAAACATTGGGAGAGCTTATATATATATATAGCATTTCTAAAATTAACTTACTTTTATTAAACAATTCTGAAGTGACTTTTCTCTTATTCTGAGGGTTTTCTTTTTAACCACAGTTGCACAGTATCCTTTTGAAGACCATAATCCACCACAGCTAGAACTTATCAAACCCTTTTGTGAAGATCTTGACCAATGGCTAAGTGAAGACGACAATCATGTTGCAGCAATTCACTGTAAAGCTGGAAAGGGACGAACTGGTGTAATGATTTGTGCATATTTGTTACATCGGGGCAAATTTTTAAAGGCACAAGAGGCTCTAGATTTCTATGGGGAAGTAAGGACCAGAGACAAAAAGGTAGGTTGTATTTGCTTTCCTTTCCGCTTCCTAGATCTAAGAATTTATTGGAAAACCAATTTTTATAAAGAAAGCTGGTAACCTTTTATCTCTTTCCTAAACATTTAAATCAGTTACTACCTTAACTTTTATGTGAGCAAATAACTGATTGAAATGTTCTGATTGAATTTTTTTGCTAGTATTTTCATGTCGTGCTAGCAATCTTATCTATGAACTGTATTAGCATATTTAGTCTCACATACAGAACATTTAAAAGTACTGCACATTGATCAAAAATAAGCTTGATATTTCTGAAGCTTGATTGAGAATAAAATGTGTTTAGGTAATAACTTGGATGCCATTACCTAGTAAAGTATGATCTTTTATAATAAATAAAGATTTTTAAAATAAATAAAAAAAATTAAAAAAAAATAAAGATTTTTTAAAATATGGATATTAATATAAGTGGTTAAGATTAGTCAGAGGTTCTTCTGTTATTCAGAAAACTAAAGACTCTTAGAAAAATCAGTGACAAATTTAATTGTGGTAAATTTGAAAGCAAAAGTGGACTCTTGGAACTTTTTACAGTGATTTCTTTCTTTTTTTTTTTAAATATATTTTTATTGATTTTGTATAGAGAGGAAGGGAGAGAGATAGAGAGCTAGAAACATCGATGAGAGAGAGTCATCGATCAGCTGCCTCTTGCACACCCCCTACCGGGGATATGCCGGCAACCAAGGTACATGCCCTTGACTGGAATCGAACCCGGGACCTCTCAGTCCCCAAGCCGATGCTCTATCCATTGAGCCAAACCGGTTTCGGCTACAGTGATTTCTTAAAGAGATTTATTTCTTTGTACAGTAAATATGGCAGAATGTTTACATTTCTTGTAAAGAAATTTTGTACATTCCTCTGTCTCCAAAACCATTCCAAGATAGATGGAGAAACTCATTTTAAAGAGCACCTATTAAGAGAGATATAACTTAATGTGAAAAATTTATTTTAGTTTTAGTAATTTTAAAATCAGGGAAATTCTTTTTTTAATTCAACTTCAAAACAAGTGATCATATCCATTATTTTCAACTACATAGTTACATTAATTCTTGATCTTTTTGCCCCTTCCTTTTTCTTGTTGTATATGTCTTTGTGACTTTTTTTGAGTTATATCTAATGATGCCAAAGTGCTGTTTATTGGTTCAAGTTTAAAAACGTGAATTTTATATTAGTGCATGATTTTAGTGAATGTTGATTACGATAGATTGACTTACATTTCCGTATTAGAGGCCTGATGCATGAAATTCTTGTAAGAGTAGGCCTTATTTCCCCAACTGCTGCCACTGGCTTCCCTCCAACCACTGGCAGGCACCTTCCAGGACCTGGCCTTCCCTTGCAACCTTGCTTCATCTGGAAGGATGTCTGGTCTAATTAGCATATTATACTTTTATTATTATAGATATTGTGTGTATCCTGGGTTAATAGCACTGGAATGAATTCCAGAGCGGAAGACCTGAGATGTTTACTTTGTTTCATCCTTTCATCGTGTAGGGAAAATTTGCTTCTGCTGATTAAAATCATAGAAGGTAAATTGTTTTACACTGGTGTGAATAAATGCAGAACAGCACAGGAAAAGAGATCGAATTAGAAGAAAACCACATAGAAGTGGATAAAATAAAATAACAATTGCAGAAGCAGTGGTAGAAATTTAAAACAGGGTTGATGAGCAGCAACCATTTTGATAGTGGAAAAGAAATCAGGTAAGAGGAATTTAAATAAGAAATTAGAGAATCTGTGTAATATGGCACCATAACACTAGATTTAAGCTAGAAGCTCTCAAACCATGTAATACACTTTTTAAAAATATAGTGGAAACTAAATATTCTCTCCAAAAATGTGCAAGGTGTACATGAACATAAAATTTTTAAAAAATATGTATTTTTATTGATTTCAGAAAGATAGAGGGAGCGAGAGAGAGAAACATCAGTGATGAGAGAAGATCGTTGATCAGCTGCCTCTTGCATGCCCCACACTGGGGATCGAACCTGCAACCCAGGCATGTTCCCTGACCAGGAATCGAACTGTGACTTCCCGGTTCATAGGTCAACGCTCAACTACTGAGCCACGCTAGCTGGGCCATAAAATTTTTTTTTAACAGATTTTAATTGCACTGAAAACTATTTTTTAAACATAGAATATGAAAGAAATTTTCATAAGAATTATTTCTCCTTTTTTTTCCCCATGCAAAAATCTGACTATTCCCTGGCTGAGAGGATCAGTTGATTGGAGCAATGTCCCCTATACAGAAAGGTTGCAGGCTGGATCCCTGGTTTGGTGTGAACGGAGGCAACCGATCAATGATTCTCTCTTATTACATCAGTGTTTCTCTCTTTTTCCCTTCCTCTCTAAAATCAATAAATTGTCAGGTGAGGATTAAAAAATAAATAAATAAATAAGTGACCACTTTTTGAGAAAGATAACTAAATCGAAGTGTTACAAATTAACCAGAATTAAGCATCAGTTCCATTCAATAGTAAATTTTAATGAAAGGGCTGCTGTTTAGCTTTTAAATAACACATTCAAGTATTCCATTTTCTTTGACTTGGCAGCCTTTGTGTCATCTTTGATAGCCAATCAGTTTTGACTTTTTTTTTTTGGTCAAAACAAGTGCTGAAAATCTTATCTCAAACAAGAATGAAAGAACAAATAAAATCTGTAGATTCTTTTGACAGTGTTGTGTCAAGAAATAAGAATTTTTTAAGACTCTGCAGGTAAATTCGTATTGATTTTACTTTCTAGTTAATAAGATCATTTTTGGCAAGATCCTGACCTAATAGTATGTTGGGAAGGAAAAGATTATTACTACACATTTTAGTTTTAAGAATGAAGAGTTAAACTTAAATGAGTTCAGTTGACGGCAGCAAAATTCTGGCTATAGGTTTGTCTTCTGAAAGCCATTGAACTTGTGTGGAACAAAGAAGTTGCTTCTACTTCTTGACAAAACCTCTTAAGACCCTCTTGATTGAAAGTCTTGACTTTTATGACTTTGGCAGTTTTCACAATAGATTTTTTTTTATGACGAATCCTCTTGCATAGGCTATGATTTAAGGCCTGGCACTCATGAGGCAGAATACTTTCACAGCGATAGATAGATTTCTCTCAGGATTGATGGTAGAGTCTTGAACCTCAGTGCATACTGATGAACAAAGTAAAGTCACATTGACATGCACAACTCCTGTCTTTTTACCAAAGCAACAAAAACAGATATTTTGCCAGGTATTAAGGTATATTATCTGTGTCTACAGAGTAAAGAAATTTCTTCAGGAGAGTATTTGAGTTTGTTTCAGTTTTGTTTGTTTGTATTTTGCAAAGAGGCTTCACCATTCTAAAAATGTTGTATCCTTTGAAGTTTCCAAAAAGAACTCTAAAATAGGATTTTTCTTTGATTATGTTACCATGGATCTATTTGATGAAAATTAGTAGCTGGCAAAGCTGAGAAGTCATATGCTGAAGGAAAGTGGTATTTCTAAGCCTTTCAAGACTTGCTTCATAGTTTCAGGAAATAGAAAATTTATTTTTTTAAATGAATAAAAATTATTTGACAGAGATACTGCAACAGTCTTTTCTATTATAAGTTACAAATACGTTTGATCATTTCTGAGGTATTTGTCTTCACCACATTCAAATGTGTGACTTTTTTTTGCTTGGTTAGCATTACAGCCAACAGCCTGATAGCATGCTTTAATCAAGAATTTTAAGTTGAGGGTAAATAAAAATTTTGTAATGGTTTAAAATTTTCTAACTCAACTGTGCTCTCACGTGTTCAATCTTTTTCCCCTCCTTCCTCCCCTCTTACATCTTCACCCTCACCCCTAAACAGAAACACATATGCTCCCTTTCTGATGCAGGTGCTTCTGCAGGATAGTTGACTGAATGCTTCTGACAGAGAACTAGCAATAGAAGAAGCACTTGGGATATTACATCTCATCATGTTCAGAGTTAAAAGTAAAACCCAAGTATTCTTAAGCTTTATTACACTTTATTTTCTCTAAGATCCAAGAGAAGTCTCCATAATAAAAAAAAAAAGTGAGGGCATACTTTAATTTGTCAGTTGGAAAAGACATTTAGTCATCATAACATGGTAATATTGTCAATTCTGTTTTTCCATAGAGTGAGGAGAAATTGGATGAAATGTCAAGCCCCAAAGGGACAATGTTATTAAATAGGGGCCACAGTAAAAATATAGCAGAGAAGTATTTATGAAAAGAAAATGTAAAGTTTGTCATGTCATGTAATAGTAAAGTTTGTCATGTTGAGTGTAATAGTACCCACATCATCGGCAGAACTGCTCTAAGCACAGCATATTCTCCATCCTCCTATGGATTGGATTATCCCCCAAGTAAAAGGTATTGGGCTTAAAAAATGGAGTTTGTGCATACTGTTAAGGATGTATGCAGTAACATTATGTTTAACTGTTACATGATAATAAGATTCAGAGTTGAGTAATTTAGCCAGAATTGATCACTTTTAGCATCTTGAAATGAAATAATTCAGATCTGTGCTTAGTTCATGATTAATTAATACACCTGGATCATTTGGGGGGATTAATTATTCATAGGTTCTAAAAGAGTATCCTAATGTGCTCCTCCTACCTTTATCCCTGTGTATATTTTGAAAAGAAAAGAGGAATTATGAGTAGTTGTTGGCAAAGCTGTATCTTACTAAATGGTGTCATTTGTATTTTAGGTTGAAGTAGCGTTAGAAAGCTAAATAAAGTGAATAAAAGGCATAGGATTCCCCCCCCCCAGAATGTTTCTTATTTTATAGATGATAAAACTGAGGCCCAGAAGATGAAATGCTTTAAGATTATGCAGTTAATGACAGCAGTCAGTGAAACTTTAGTTCCCTGGCACACTGTTGATCTTCCTTCTATACTGTTAAGTTCATAAATCCTGAATTGCAAAAGAATTTTGAGGCTGTTCAAAATTAATCTCTGTACAGGGTCAAACTCTTCTTAAAGGTCATGT